GAAAATCCTACTAGGGCTTATTTTCAGGTTAGGTCTTATTTTCGGGAAACGATAGCAAATTGGCAGCTATTTTGTCCCTCTTAAATAGGTCTTATTTTTGGGGAAACAGTGTACAGTATCTTCTCTATTTCTAAAGAGAAGGTTATTTATTTCTAAAGAGGAGGTTACCAGAACTGGCCACCAGAGGGAGCCACATACCAGACTATGTATAAAGCAACTCCACTAAGGCAGCGTTCGCTGCCATCCGCGTTTTTCAGCATCCGCGGATACAAAGGACCCGCTCAGGGGCTGAGGAGAGCCTGGAGGACAACCACCTCGATTTTGTGCCCCTCCTTAAGAGCAAAGGAAAGGGTTTTCAAACAAATGCCCTTTTTTTCTCCTCGCTCCCGGCATCCTCCTTCCTTCCCCGTGTCCTGGCTGAGCTGCCCATTCAACCTAACGAAGAATTCTGTGAAACGCCAAAGCTTGCACAACCTATCGCCGTGGGGGGGGGGAGTGAGAGAGAAAAGGGTTCGGCCCTTGTCGTCGTTGTGGCGGCTTTTGGGACCCTCTCCTTTCCAGACTCACCCGCGAACCAGGCGATGAGGGGCCGTGGTCGCCATGGTGACCGCCCAAGCGCGGCGGCGGGGGCCTTCGAGGGAGAGGGTTGGGCTTAGCCGAGGCCTGTCGCTCCGACGCCTCGGTCCGGCCCCTTAAAAATTACAGCCCCCCCCCCCGTTTCCTCTCGGGAACAGGGGGGGAAAAACTCTCGGGTCACAAGGAAGTGAACCGTCCGCCCAAAGGCCGGTTTCAGGCAGGCGAACGCGGAGGCCACCCCGGCCGGGGGGACAGGGGTCCTCGCGATCTTCTCTCCCAGCGTGCCTCGCAGCTGCCTCTCTATCTCCCATCTCTCTCTTCCTCTCGCTCTTTCTCGCCGCCATCTTGGGCCGGTGGAGCTGAGGTGAGAAGCCGGTGCGGGCGTTGGGGGATCCGAGGGGAGGCCCGGGCGGGCGCCAAGCGGGTTCCGAGCCCGGCGATCAGGCGAGGGAAAGGCCGAGGGCTGCGACGGGCCCGGTCCGGAGGCCGGCGCCGGCGGGATGGCTGGGATGCAGGGCGGATGCTGCCGGGGGGGGGGGAGGCTGGGCCCGGGAGAGGACGGGACGGTCCTTGGAGGCCTTTCGGGGAAGGGAAGGGAAGAGAAGACGGGGCGACCCCGAAGGAGAAGGAAGGCGGCTTCTCTTCGGAGTCCCCGGAGCTCGCAAGCGGCCGAGGAAGGGCGGGAAAGGCCGGCGCGGCTTTAGGACGGAAGGGAGAGAAAGGATCGCCTCCAAACCCCGCGAGGCCCCTTATTAGAGTAGCAACTGTATTTTAATGTGGGTTTTCATGGGTTAAGTCCCCTTTCGCAAGCACAGTGAAAGCTCACGCGAATACACAGCATTTCGTCTTTAAGGTGCCACACTGTTTGTGTCGTCTTTATTGTTTTCTCCTCCTCTGTTTTTGCCTGGCACAGACTAACAGAGCTGTCTTTTATTATCTACTGTCCTTGTTGGAAACAACGTGTGTTGAACTCGTTGATCCCGCAGGGCTAGCCTAGCAAACATGGCAAGGACATTCTCTGTTCTCTTGTTGGTTTAGGGGAGGTAGTAACTTTTAGGCCTTATTTCCCTCCTGTGGGTTGGAGGGATGATGCTGCCATCTCTTGCAGGGTTATTTTAAGAGGTTTAGGATGCTTTGAACATCAGTAAAGCATTAATCTGATTTCTGTCCTATGTACAAATGATGGCATCAAGTGGCTGGATCTCACACTATTCTTCTATTGACCATTTGAGATAGGTTTTGTGAGAAGCTCTATTTCCATTCTCTTGGTTCGGTTTGACAGTCATTTTTATTTATTTATTAGATTTATACCCCACCCCAGACAGCGTCTGCTCAGGCCAGCTTACAAATATCATAAAATATCATAAAAACATTGTGAACATTAAACAGTTGAATCAATAAAATAGTGGATTCAAGGTGGGGAATGATAGAAAACAAGAAGATAGAATTCAAGAATGGACAGAAGGGAAGGCCTGCCTAAAGAGCCAAGTCTTTAAATGGCTCTTAAAAACACCCAGCGA